GCAAATTTAAATAGAAATATTACCACAATGTGGGGACAGAAAGGGCTGAATGTGAGTGAACCATGCGGTCTCGCCCACATGTAGGAGCAAAAAAACAGAGGTTTTTCTTAGATGCAAGCAAAGCACACTTACAGACATTCCCCTCAACCACTCCTGGTCATTGACACGTAAACAAACGCAAGTGCACATGCCGACGCTATCCCACACAAACACACACATATCCAGATGGAGGCTGACAGCATGCTTTGGGCAAATGGCTTCGAATGAAGAACACATGAGCTTGTCTGTGCGATGGCTTTCACATGCTCCCGAAACCTCACACACCTCCGGGGTTAGAGGGGGAGACGCAAATGTTGTGTGCATCATGCATGTTTACTGGCCAGAGATTTAAGTAGGAGGGTCGAGGAGAGAAGAAAATGTGTCACTAAGAAATACTCATGGGACAGTTTTCAGAGCAGGCGAAGGCAGAATTAAGAGCAGGTGGAAGTGATTTTGCAACAGACGATGAGTGGGGGAATTTAAGCAGGAAACAGGCTATTTTTAAGTTTCAGTTTTTGGAGTCCTTCCAGGCAAAGGCAAACTAAAAGCACCAATAAACCCCATCAAAGTTGACTCTCTTTAGAAGAGTTATTCATCAAGCAGGAGCTTGCCTTTAGATTTAAGGCCTAAGCCTGCACTCAGCATGTTGTGAGCCTTTCAACATATGAACGCAGGGCCACATTCATTTAAATTTAGAATGTAGTTTTTTTTATCCCAATATCGGAAACTTGGACACTGCCAATTCAAAAAGCAGCAAAGTTTAAAATGACTTTCCCCCCTTCTTTTTGTTTGTATTGCTCACTTTCTTTCCCATCAGGAGGGTACGGTTGTCATCCAAACGGTGTATTTCCATTGAGTTTTGACAGCATTTTCACCATCCATCAACTTTGTCAGGTCAAATTAGATTTCTGGGTAAGGCTGTGATGTAGATAAATTAGTTTCATTTGAAAAAAACATTCAAATCTGAATAATGGTGGTGGTGGTTCGGAGATTGTTTCAGTAAAAGATTTTTGTCTCTTCTGTCAGGCAACCAACGCCTGATGACACATAAATGACCACAGCTACAGCAAACAACTAAAACACTGCCCAGTTTCTCTTCCCAACAGATTTTGCATTTGCCTGTGCAGGTGCATGTCCGTCCGGTTTTCACAGGAAGGACATGCAACCTGACACTTCACAGAAAGAAACGAAACAGGTTTTGAGCAGACGCCTACATCGTTAACACCCAAAGACCAATGCAAACAGAACTTTCAAATTTGACAACATGAAGGTTTGACAGAGATGACTCTTCACTGGTGCAGCAGCTCTACCATTCCGAGCCAAAAATCCAACAAAACCTGCACCCTCTAGACGATGATGTAATCTCTGATGGTTCTGATCGGAACATCATAACCAAGGACAGTGAGCCAGCACTGTGTTATGTAAGATCGGGCAAACGCATTCAAACACTCAGAGTGAAGGGAGGTGTGTGTGAATAGGCTACTCATTTACAACACACGGGAGGAAAGATGAAACGCCTACTTTGAAGCACTCAAAGCTGTTTCAGGGAACTGCGTTAAAGGTAAAAAATAAATATAGTCACATGGGACAGTTGTGTTGTCCATTCAAACCACCTTGTACTAATAAAATCAGACAGAATGTGGCCTTTGAGAACATAGCGGTAGTCTTGTTATCCAACTCCCCAGCCCAGCGTACCTCTGCCCGCACAAGATTAGAGATTATAGTATGCAATCATGCAAAAAGATCGATTCAAACCCACTAACACTCCCACTGCTCCTGGATTACCAATGATGCCTGTCTGAAATGACTCCCCAGCAGAGCATCACATCGACAGGAAAACGCACTCTATTTATCATAATTTGACAAACAAAAGGAAAATGTAGCTGATACTGATGTAAGATGCCAAAATAAATAATGGAAATAAGCACTACTTTGATGGGCTTATGTTTGTTTTGTGTGCTTTAACAGTAAGAAATAACCATCCAAATCATTCATATTAACAAAAACTGAGATCAAAATATGGACACTTATTACAAGCAACTGTTTAAAAGAATCATAAGATGACCATCTTTTTTATTTTCTTGAAGCAGTTTCCTCTCAATGATAACTGCACTGAATTATCAGTAAATAAGTCCAACTGTTATCACAAAAGCTTTGAAAGGCAGAACATAACTTGCTGATAACTGAATGTGAAACAGCTAAGACTCATATGACACAACTTGAAAACAAACCAGACATCTGCCTTCATAAGTGCAGAGCTTTTCTATAGTTTTATTTTTCAAGAAGTTGCGAAATTTTTAACTTAAAGATAATGCAGAATGTGCAAATTAATCCTGGATTTTCCTATAAAATCCAAATTCCTTCTCAAAACTTCAACCACGCACTCTGTGAATCAGAAGTTCTGGCACACGCCGACACAAGCTCCTTACATGAGCACTCTCGCCTTCATGCCCCCCACGGTAAATCTTCAGCTTCTTAATGGATGCTACGAGCTTATGCTCACATTCCAGATGTCAAATGATTACACCAATAAACAGGCCATCCTCAAATCCAATCTACTTTGGGTTGCCGGTGTAGGTGGACTGTTGTGCAACATCACACAGGCAGCGCAGCCGTCCAGACTGAAAAGCTTTAACTTAGTGAAAGCACCTCAGTAATTTAAAGGTTTGTGCAAAAAAAGGTGATTAAAGAATACAGTGGGATAATCACTAGTTAGAAATGTGACTGTTCCACTTGACTATCACTTGGGGCTACAAACAAGTACGCCCACTCTGCTCTGTCAACCGAAGTTGAATGATACAGTGGATACTGATCCTCAGGAGAACATTAAGTAATCGCATTTTTAAAAAAAAACATCATTGCTAAGGAATACCTACTTCTTCTGCTCCTCACACCATGGACAGAATGATGTAACCCAGCAGTATGGCTGCAGTGGAAGCCAAGTTGTAAAGAGATGACTATAAAAAGGATGTGTGTTTTTAAGCAAATTTTTGCTGGAACCATGGATTTGTAAGTGAGAAATAACTGTAATAACCAACACTTCAGGTGGAATACACATCACTGAGGCTTACAAAGTGTATTTGTTGATAGTCAACTGAGGGAGTTAAAGATAAATGTCAGAAAACCTGCATGGGATTGACGGTTAGATAGATATTTTAATACTGGGTGTCAGGTTAAGTCAGTTTCTGAGCTTGTAGATCCAGTTTCCTAATATCTGTTTGACAGTAAATATGACCAAGTCAAACCTTCCCTGACTTCACACTTCTGAACAGTTCTGTTTTTATACTGTTGTATATTGATCAATCAGAATTGATCAACTATTGTATATATCCATGTCTTCTTCTACTGAAGCAACATCTGTAAATGCAACATGCCCTCTTCGCCAATCAGACAAGGGCCTGTTCTGGGTCATCAATAATGCAGCTGGGATATTCCTTCTAGTCAAACATATTTTTCTAAGTTGCTTCGCTTGAAAATTGTAATTAACTTTAATTATCTGTATATTTTTTTTTTAATTAAATCATTTGGTGGGATGAGCCTTGTAAACAAGGTAAAAATCTTTCATCCCATATTGCACAAAATCGTGTTAAATATTACCTAACATTTCTTTTAAGGACATAAAAGTGAATACAATCTACAGAAAAGAGGGACAGGCAGGAAAAACAGTGTTAAGCCTCTGAAGTGTTATGCCCTCCAGGCCCAAGTGCAACAATTTGGCACCCTTCTTTCTATTAGCCAACAAAGAAAACAGACATCAGATCAGATCAGCTGTATCACCACCTCTGTGTAATGAAGGTTAAATAGATATTTTACCTGTACACAAGCCATTATCGTAAAGCCTGACAATCTCTATGTGAATATATAACTGAATCTAAACAAGATGGCCACGGTAGAAAAGGCTTATTGTTAATAACACACAGGAGAACATGAAAGAGATGTGATTTTACCACAAAGCCAAAAGGCAAACACGTTGTATGGATGTTCCCACTAACGCCAAGACACGCCTTCACTGCACACCAGTTCAGTGAGCAACAGTTTGGGTAAGATCACAGGGGAAATGATGCCTCCTTTCTATCAATTATGCACAAATATGAGGCTCTTTGTTTCTTGAGCGCTCAATGTAGCAAACAGTTGTGGATTTTAGCCACTAAATTGATGTTACGGGTTTTGAAAAGGTCTAAAACGGTGTATGCTGCCTACAAAGAGTGTATGCTTCATTGGCACGTCTGTGCGTTTGGGCTGCACTGATGGACGCAGCCATCCCTCTGCGTCAAGCGCTCCACTGGTCGACTCTTTATCAGCCACTCGTAGCGCGACAGGAACTGAAAACGGGGACCGTGCGAAACCAAGTCCAGGTCCACCGCAGCCCTTCTGTCAATCACGCCCCTGACGGAGCAGACAGACAGCCAGATCCCTGTGGGAATCGTCGATAATAATGGAGGCGGCTGCAGCAGGAGGATCCACCTGGCGGAGAACAATGCATCCGTGCACGAAGCGCAGCGCTGCGCACGGACGCTTTATCAGCTGGTCATTAGTCAGAAATAAGCTCGCGACGGTGCAGCAACTCAAAAGCAAATTGGCATTAATGCACGCTCCGTAAAATCCCAGACCAAGAGCCTTCCTCCCGCCATCCATCCATCTATCCACCCGCCCACCCCCCATCATTCCCCTCCATCAGCCCCCAAATCCCCACACAGCCGCATTATAATGCAACAGACGTTCAATTGAGTTGGAAATTGCGGGAATAATCTCTCATCACCCGCAGCAATGAAAATGTAACTGCCACTTAACCCGCCCTAAAAACTAAACGAGAGGCCAAACGGCATCGCTATTGTGTCGCGCACAAGCGAGAAGCCATTGCAAGTAGGTTAAACCGCTCAGGCTGGCGCAGACACAAATGTCTCCAACAGAAGGAAAAAAAAGAGACAAATGCGCAAATATCAACGGCTGAGGGAGCATACCTTTGCTCTCCTGTCCCTCGTCCTGGGTCTCCTCTGCGTTGGATTCCATGACCGGCTTTGTCCCGTCCATTATTTTAAGCAGAATAAAGCCTCCTTGTGCTCGCCCTGGTACCTTTACAGTGTGTGGACGCGGGAGCCTGTCTTGGTGACTTGATGCTCTCTCTCTCTTTCATGCACGCTCCCTCCCTCCCCACCTCTATCTCTCCTCCCAGTTCCAGCTTAGCACCGTCTCTCCGCGCATAACAGTCCAGTTCCAAATTGCAAAGGCGATGACAGACAGGATTTATTGCACCCATGCAGATTACTACCCCCTACAGTGATGGCAGATAACGTCTATTAGGCCCCTAAACGCACCCCAAAGTGTGGAGACAATGATGTTGATAGTGTACTTCCTAAATATCTCCTTTGATGATTCATGATTGCCTTCACATGCATGCTGTCCTCATGAAATCCTGCCTTTTTATCTGCAGATGACTGGAAGTGCTGTTAACCCCCCCAATATATGTATTGTTTGCCTTTTGCCTTAGTAAAGCTGTGCAGGATGTCAGGACAAAATGTGCAAGATATGTAAATGTGCAAACTCATGGGTAACCATGCATACATAAATACACACACACATAAGCACACTCACCGCCTCCTCTCCATCTGGTGAGATGAAGTAGAAACTGAGGTTCAGGGAGAGAAGGAGAGAAAGAGGGCAAAGACTTGCAACAGCTAAGTGTGGTTTTTATCCTCCTGTCTGCACTCACGTTAAAGCATCTAATCTGTGGTTACTGACTCCAAATACCCAATTTCAGGATAAATGCAGCCACCTGATCACAAGGGGCACACACACACCAAGGTGATAGCAGTGTGTCCATAATGGATGTGTATCTAATCACTGTTAACACATTCACTCAAATTAGATTTTCTTGGTTTCAATTGTGGAAACATCAGCTTCACTTAAATTGATTTCGGCTCTGATTGGATTACTTTGGACCAATCAGAGGTCCTTCAGTGCTAAACAGCCATGTGTCATGTTTTACTGAGGAGGGGTTTCTTTGTTTGTTTCTGAGTTAGCCTGCTGATTGGTTGGGCCCCCAACCCAATAAGAAATCAAGTAAGGTGAGTAAATGAATCCTTGAAGTGCATAAAATGGGTGTGGTATGTTTGAGGGGTAAAGGGAGCACAGCTTCCATCACTCAACCCCTTTTCTAATAATAAACACATCCACGAACAATGGAACACCATCTGTGCTGAATCCTCTTAAATGAGGTTTTAATATGAGCCCATGTGCCCCTGTTTGAGATAAGGCTCCTCCCACCAAACGGTGCAGGAAATCCCCCCCTTACCCCCACCTAAAGCACAAAATGTAGACGGAGGTGACCGTACCAACCTGGGCAGCTTTCATCCAACAATCTTCAGACACAACAACAGCTAGAAAGACATTTATGGCATTTAGACGATCCATTTGCCCTGAGGGCTGATATTAACGCCTGCACCAAATGCTGAATCAAAGTGGGTCTCCCATACGACTATTTGACATTCCAATGGCTTTGACTGTCAGGGGGAAATCTGATCCACCGCATTAAACAATAGCTTTGTAAATTAAAAAACACCTTTAACATTTTTGCTTAAACTATTACAAACATTGAGAGGCTGCAATAACATATTAAACATGACAAATAATTCTTGTAGTTTATTCCTTTCCTTTTCTCTTGTTTCTTTCGTGAAATGTAAAGACAAAGCACAACTAAATAACAACACATTGTATGTTGTTCACTATGATGATACATGATTCATCTGTCATCTTATTGGAAAGCTCCTAATACAAAAATTATTTCTGTGGTTCAAAGATTTAAAAAAAAAACGTTGTACTATTTCTAAGAAAGCAGTAGATACAGTTCTCAAAAGGCTGATGCAATTTCTCTGCACAGTGTTTTCAGTAGGACATCAATAGCATTTGGCTAGGTTTAGGTAAAAATCATAGCTTTAATGAATATTAAGGCCTTTCCACAAAGGTCACTGCATGTGACAAAGGTCCTTAATAGCATGATTGTAATAAAGGCCTGGAAAGTCAGAAAACAACTAAATATCCCATCAGGATTCATTTGAATATTGAACTACCTACAATTTCTTGTTTCTGTGAGTAGTGTCTTTGATACAGTAGAATAAATGGAGGAAATAAATAAAATAATTTACAGGTTAGAAAAATAGTCAGCAAATTGGATTCTGAAGTTTCTACATGTCGTTTAGAAACATCTTCAGTGCAGTGCTGAAGTTATTGCCCTTTTTTAAAGTGTGAACGCAAAAATTGGGAATAAAGAAAAGTAAAACTCATTGTCCAATCAAGATCCAAAAGAGAAAACACTACAGAAAAAGTCAATCACATTCTTTTTTACGTTCTTTTTACAGTTTTGATGGGAACACTTCAAGTAGCGTTTTTCTCCTCGAACCTTCATAATCTCTTGCTGGGTCACAGATTAAGAACTTGTAAAGAAGATGAGAAACAGTGCTTGCTGGCACTCTTGACAACTACGCTGTAACAAACGCGCACACACACACACAAGTGATGTTCTATGCTCTCCAAAGAGTCCGAAATATTAGGATTCTTACAATGGAAATGCAACCAAACATCTCTTAAAATTTACAGCATTCAACGTAGAATTCCTTTTCAACAAATCTATATATTTATTCTTTACGCCACTGTCTCCATCATATGGCAAATGCTCACATTCTGCTTTATCATGAACTACAGTACAGCTGTTACTAAGTTAAAATCTGTATGCTGGGTCTAAATGAAAAGCTAAATGATCTTAGAAGTGATTACAATCCACCCTGTAGGGATAATCTACATTAACAATGAACTGCAGAGGAGTCCATGCTTTTGTTGTCCAGACATTTCATTACAGCCACAAAGTCCACCAAATAAGCAGAATGTGTCTCTGAGGCATAGACTATATCTGTAGTAAATGACATGGCAATCCATTTGCAGGCAGATGTTCTTATCTTAAGAGAAGTCATGGATCATATAAATTGCTTTCTAAGGGCTGTGCACAGTTTCCCACTGAATGCAGAAGTGGAAACTTTTCCAAGAAGTAATCGATTTCACCTCTGTAAAGCCTTTCCTATCAAAAGAGCGCGTGCTGTGTGTGGGAGGCGGGGGATGTGGTGGGGAATGGTAATCAAGTTTTTAGAATAATACACAATCCTCTTTAGCTTTGTGACTTTGCGGGCAGTGTCATTTGGACAATTGAGCAAGCTTTAGACTAAACAAAGAGCATCAAGGATAAATGTAGGTTCGTGAATAGTTTGAACCTTAAACAGTGGGCCTGTTTGTGCGAGCATGTCTGTAAATGTCAGCAACGCCAGTCAATGTTTTGAATGCAAACTGTCACATGGAGAAGTTTTGTGCTCATAAATGATCCGTAAAACGCCTTTTATACTCAATCCTGACTCGCAAGCAGCTTATTTTTGGCTGGTTATTGTTCTTCATGGGAGACTCAGTGAAGATGGGCTGCACAGCTGCACAAACTTTCTCATCTGCCTCTGCAGCCCTTGGAGTCCATTAAAGGGAGAGTCACAAAGGCCTGTCAAATGCTTGTCTTCCCTCATTAAAGCGAGACAGAAGGGAAATTGGAGCCAAAACGTGGCAGTGAAACAGAACTGAGTACAGTGCAGCTCTTTTGAGTCAGCCTCTGTGGAGTTAGTAGCAGGAAAGAATATAAAGAGAACATCACAGAAATCAGTTCACCAGGATGAGCTACTTTAAAACATCATTTTGAGACTTTCTTGGTGGCCAGACACTTGATATTAGAGCAGTTGCATTTTAGAATAATATAAGCTCTATTGCTGTCACGGAGACATAAATCACCACTACCAGGGTACATTTTCAGATCTTTCGGCGATGTCATTACTTTGTCAAAATCTTTTTGAATGGCTCTTTTTGTTGCTCGAATCCAACAAGAGCCAGAAAAGTAAATCAAATCAAAGATGTGATGAGAAAACTGATCGAAGGCATAGTGGTGTTTCCAACTTTTGGTGTTTAAACTTGAAATATAAGGATAAATATGTGGAGAGTCTCAATGACGTTGAACAAAAAATCCTAAAGTGAATGAACACTTTTGCTTAAAATGATGGAATGGATTACCAAGAATTTTTCTAGACATTATTGCCCATGAATAATAAGGTAAAACTATTTGTCGCTTTGATGTTTGATTAATTGTTTATCTAATATTTCCACTAGTGAAGAGACAATCCTGCCTAAGGTAGATGCTTACAACATTTCTGCTAATGCTGGTTATTGCGTCCTCGTTCTGCTCCTTTGTCTCCCCTGTAACGCCCAGCCTCACTGCAGGCATCACACTGACCTTTAACTATCTTCCTCACACGCCGCTCTAGGCCCCTATACCTCTATTTTGTCTGAGAGTTAGGCAGTGAGGTGAAAGATGGCTGTGTTTGCCTTTACAGTCAGTTTATGTTATGGGGAGGTCAACTTGTGGGATCAGGAGCTGATTCCAGAGGTTGACCTCACCATGACCCAGCGTCTGCTGCCCCTCGCTTTGGGAAATGACCGCCGCACTGCTCGGAGCAGTCTGGCAGGGGCTGCCAGTAGTAATACTGCCTCAGGAAAATGGATGTGGAGAACCAAAGTGTCAGTTAGGATAGATGTTTATCACAGTTTGAAATATATTAGTTTTATTTAATTACTTTTCTCTCGCCTTCCTTTGTTGTAAAACTTGAGGGATTTACCACAAGATGACTTGAATCGTGCTTTATTGCAAAGACCTTGATGAGTGTGGAAATACCACAAGGATCTTTATGGGGGATTGCACCTGCTTTGAAAGGAAAGTAATAATTTGTGGAGTTGATCTTCATTATTAAGCTCCTTTTGTAAGATTTGAGGGCATAAAATCATTTTCAGTTAATCAATTGTTGTCAATTTTTTTTTTATTTTTTACAGCCATTAAAGCTTACCACCAGCAGAAAAGGTTTCCTCTGTGTAGCACGTGTGTGAACAGCAACCAGGGAAAAAGTCTGGACCAAATCACCCTCACATTCTCTGGAAAATGTCTGGTGCTCATGTGTGAA